TCCAAAGTACGTCCAATCTTGTGTTGAAATTGAGAGAGAGAGAGAGAGAGAGATTGGAAATGAAATAAGGGGGGAGTCATCCGTGTATATGAGGAAAGAAAAAGAAAAGGCCAAGAAACAACTACATTAGCTGCGTCCAGCAGCCTGTTGCATGTGCGAAGCCTACTAGCCACATGTGGATAGTGGCAGAAATGAACCCGTAGGAAAAATTGCCCTCTATCGCACGCGCGGAGCCCCTACACTGCACGTGCGGCTCCTTCCACCACATTTGCAGGCTAATCTTTGTTGGCGACAACAACAGCCCTTTCAGATGTCCAAGCGAAAGCGCAAGAGCGGAGCTAACCAAAAACCCGAACCATTTGACTAACCCTTAACACACTACCTAACTTTGTCTTATTCTGCAGGTGCAGGCATAACCCACTGCATGTGCGAAGCACCCCTACTGGGCGCTCTTCCTCAAACTTCGATTCTAAGTCTAAATTTCGCATTTCCAAGTCCATTGCACGTGCAAAGCACCCCTACTGGGTGCTTCTCAAACTTCGATTCTAAGTCTGAATTTCGTATTTCCAAGTCCAGAACTCAATCACAGAACAACTAAAATGGTAAATGAGGTTCAATACAATCCTCACAATCTCGGGAGCAGAAAACAATAAATAAGCAACTTAGCAAGTCATGTCGACCCAAAACCAGTAATATTTCGAAAACAATGTAAATACCACACGACAACTGTCAAATAATAAATTAAAATCGGGTTTAAGACCTAAGTCACTACAATCTCCCCACCTTAGGGAATTTCACCCATAAAATTCGACTAATACAAGAATAAAAGAAAAACAGTAACTAACCTACCTTCAAACAAGTCGGGAAATTTAGAACGAACTTTTGCTTTGTTGTTGCCAGGTCGCTTTCTCAACTCTGTGATTCCTTGCATGACTTGCTCCGATGAATCTAGAATCTCTACTGGTCAGTCCTCGTACGAAGTGTCTTCATCAACCTCCAAGTGTGTCCAATCAAACATGTGTGAAGGGTCTGGTTCATACTTTTGCAACATAGAAACATGGAATACATCATGAACTCTTGATAACTGTAGCGGTAATACAAGATGGTATGCTACCTTTCAAACCTTTCTAATGATATCAAAAGGCCTGATGAACCTAGGTGAAAGTTTTTTGCTACTCCTAGTTCTCATTAAACTTGTCTTGGTGAAATCTTCAAGATTATGTGATTCCTGATCTCAAATAACGGTTGTATACTTCGGTTCGGATAACTCTTTTGTTGGCTTTGTACGATAATCAACCGCTATTGGATGAGAGCGATCTTCTCTGTTTTTCTCGCACGAATTTCTGCCCCAATATCGGTGCATTTCCAACCTCGATTTAACAAATATGTGACCTATGCAGTCTACCAAAGAAAGCTTCAAACGATACCATCTTGATACTAACTTGATAATTATTGTTGTAGGCGAACTATGATCCTAATACTCCAAACAATTCACTAAACAAATCAAAACTTTATAGGACTTAGACAAATGGAATTACAACCATACCCTAGTCTACCTAGCTCTGAAATTCTCTCCATGCTCGACGAGCTCAACCTGATCCGTTCAACCTTTTTTTATTTGGTAGTTCACGACGAAGCTCTTTGCTTTGATCTCTGTACTCCGAAGACTTACCCAAACAACCATTAAGATGATGTAGTGACATGTAATGCAAGGTGTGAAGGTTTTTATGAAAACATTGAACATAAATTTGCCTAAGTATCCAAAGATTGAGTGTCACGACCCCATCCTGTCCTAAACATGATAGTGTAGTGATCGGCCAGTATTCGCAGACTACCATATGCCTAACTTTCAAAACAAGTTGGACTCAAAAGAAAATTGGGGCAAATTTTCCATTTGTAGGTGTGGAAGCCATTATTTGCTTATATTGAGTCCATTTGAAACATCCATTCAGAGCAATGCATAACTATATGAAATGAAAGCATACATTTTTTTTAGATTGTTATCTTTGCATTATTACATGATCTATACGACAAAAGTAAAATACAACACATATGACAAGGCTTTACAAATCTAGCACAAACATACATGACCGGCTTCTATTCAAACTTCTCTTTGTAATCGAACTCTTCATCACCTACATATATATAAGGGAGGGGTAAGCCATTGCCCCATGAATGGTAATATAGTAAAGTTGCAAATGAATAAACACTAATGATTTTTTAATAAAAACAAACACAAGATCATAGTTTAAACATGGCATAATTTGTATATGATAAAACAAAGCTTAACTTGCAAGCATATACATAGCGATGAACATTCCAAGGGCTTTGAGAACATTAAGATCCACAACAGGTGGAAAGAGGAGCTCAGTTAGCAAGAGGTTATTGGTATTATTTTCCAATAACAAAACAAGATCCAAGGCGTCATCTTAATACATGATACAAGAGTATATGATGTTCATTCATGGTGAAACATTAGCATAACTTTCATAAACATAGCATAGGTTTTGCATTTCAAATCATAGTTTAACAAACATAATTTTACTATACTACTACTTACAAATGGCTGTTGGACAAAGGGTTACTTCCTCCAAAGTGCTTAACCTACACAAGTACAATACAAGCATTCAATGAAATACGATCCAAAGCGATGTAACATTACTCTTTTTGGTTCTAATTTGAGTGTGTGCTAGCTTAGGTTCAATTCATTCTTTTGACTGCACTCTTTCTAGTCAATTTTCAAGTCTTATTTATGTTCATTTCAAGTTCCAATTAGGTGAAACGAGGTCCGGTGAGTCGAAAGGGTGAAAAAGAAGCAAAACGGGTCAAATACCCTGTTAGCTGCATGTGCAGAGCTTATGCAGTGTTGATTTTGGGGTTGGCCACACGTGCGGCCGCTGCTGCAACAGACTTTGTGGTCTAACTTCAAATGTGCATATCTTCTTTATCCGGATTCGGTTTTAGGCGATTCTTCAATCTAAATTCAAGCCCCAAGAGTCTAGTTTTTAATGGTTATGGTTTCACATCCAAATTCCAAATATATAGAGAGATATGGCCTAAGTAGTGACAGCTGCTCATTTTGCTCTTCATCAATTCAAGTCAATTTCTTTCCTAACTAAATTTCCTTTAACATACCTTCAATTCAATGCATCATTAGAAGATATTTTCAATAAAATGAGTAAGAATAATATGGGATACATGGTTTAATAATTCTATACAAAAACATAGGATTAAATTATGGAAAACGGTGGATTTCAACCAAATCTTGTCTACTACAGCTTCTTTTTCTTCCATCTCTTCCACCTAATCTCTATTCAAACTCAACCTGCATCATGTTTTTGTGGGTTAAAATATATATCATGTGAAAGAGGGTGAAAATTCGTATCTTATGGTTTACTAAATTTTTGGTCCAAGAATTGAAGTTCTCTTGTTCTCCTTCTTCTTCCTCTTCTTTTTTTTTCCTTCTTCTATCTCATCTCTCTCTTCTAACAATTTCTGAGAATTTCTAGCAAGGTTCTCTCTCTATTTTCTTATTTTTTATTACAAGGAAAGACATTTGTTCTCTAAGGGTGGTGTGTCATCAACTTGAGGTGTGTGCTTCACCTCCCTACTTCATTAATTCATTATACTAATTAACCATGCTTTGTATTAATTAATCAAGTTTAATTTCTAATCATCATTAAATTTAATTAATCTCAGTCAGATTTAATTAATCACACTGAATTACCGCTAATAGTTTTTGACAAAGTATCTGAAAGACTAATTAGATTAAGAATACTCAAAAGCTCTCTCAAAAACTTTTTTGGGCTGCTTAAAATATGAGGCTCAAACCCTGAAAATGTATTAGGGTCCTATTGATAAGACTGGGGATTAGAAACCTAAAATAGGTCTAATTAGGCCTTTTCCCACTAGGGTGATTGATCCCAAAATGATCCTTAGCGATTGCTTTTCTGTGGAATATGGAATCAACAATTTGGCACCTATTGGCCATTGATCTCTCATGATGGCAGTCAATCCTGAGCAATCGCGATCCCTCGCCTCTGGAAATGTGCTAAGTATCCTATCTCATCCATCAATTAAGTATACGTCTCTTGGACTGGGTCCTCTATTTACACTTGTTTTTGCAGTGTGGGTACTGTTGGTAACCTCTCACTGGCGAGTTGCGATGCAGCATGTCTTTTGTATAGAAATTATTTACATTTGTCAAATACAAAACATTGCTGGTAGTGAATGCATTCTCTTCAAAAGTTTTTAGGGTCTATATTTGTTGTGAAATTCCAAAAATCTTGGTACCTCTATTGGCACCGGGGAAGCAAAAATATAAGATTGGGTTGAATTTAGTTGATGAAAAATTATAGCACAAAGAAGTTTAGTCGAAAAAGATCTTAACAAAAATCATAAGTATTTGTGTGGCTAACCCTTAACAGCACTACATTCATTGGCCATGAGATAAATTTTACCAGAGTATTGGAATGTTGTAGATTACATTTTTATGAATATTATGGAAACCCACTAAAAAGATGTCCATATGAAGCCTTAAAGTAGTGTAGACCCAAAACGAAAGGTCTTTGGATCATTACTCAAATCCAAAATGCCAACAAGATAGCTGTATTCTGTCTCTACAAAATCCAGTCTAGATCCACAGAGATTCAGGCCCCCAATGCTCATTGCTACAATTTGCTTCCCACTATGTTGGAACCCTATGTAATTTCCTTCTCCTAGCACGATACTGGATTCGATTAAATGCTCACAAACACAGGTGGAATGCAATAAAATGATTATTAGTGAAAGTGAAAGAAATTAAATTAAGATAATTTACAAATGATTGGAGTTTTATGAGCTTATAAAATTTTCTATTTATATTAATTTGAAATGTTTTTCCTTTAGTTTTCTAAATTTGTATCATTACTTGCGATGTTGGTATGTGTAGCTTTAACCATGATATTTTCTGCTTATAGGATTTGTTCTTATTAATACCTGGTTGATTTTGCTGGTTTCAGGGCGGCCTTACGGCCACAGATGTTTTTGCTGTTGAGTGGATTGAAACTGGTGTTATTCACTTTGGGATGACTGTCTCGTACTTCGGTTTTGTTAGTGATGGTAACTTATACTTTGTGATTCATTGCTTTTGATTTTTGTCAAATTAGTGACTCAGGTGCATTAGTTTCCAATCAGAAAACAAGGTGATTGGAGTCTGTCCTGTTGTTGATTATGAACTATATTTCTTTTGCTTTCTTAATGTTCAATTTATAATCACTCAACCTAATCTATAGGACGAGGGTGCTTGTGTACATTCATTGCTGCTCACTTTGAGGTGAGGCATGGATAATTGAAGTGCCCTTCTTGCAAACTCTACATGCAGAGTAGCAGGAGTAGCATTAAAACCAGTTCAGCTGTTCTAATCCAGTGTGACCTAGACAGGCAAATGGGTTAGATGAAGTGGACTGCTGACTCTGATTTTTTAATTATACTTATTGCCTACTTTTGTTGACAGTATTAAGAGAGGGGATAAGAGGTGGTGGAACATGTGGGCCCCATCAGGTTTTTAATCCTGCATTTGATTGCAAGATAAGGGGAGGGGGATTGGATACAAAAATAATTTTTTAGTCTGACGTTTGTTTGGCATGTTAGAAAAACTCTAGATAACTTTAATATTGATTTGGGGGATTAAGAAATGCCATAGGAATTGTGGTATTAAGGAGATTAGGCCTCTCAGGATTATTTCCTCCACTCAGCGGTCAAAAATAATCTTATGTTTATATCTCATTCTAACCAAACATAATACTTCACTCACTCTATCCAACCATATATTCAATCTTTATCTCATCTAATCCTATGGTATAACCATGCCCCACAATCCTATCAATGATTCCATATTCATATCCAATGCCATCAAAAATAATATGACGATCAAACGTGCCCATTATGAATGAAATGAATTGAACACCACTATGCTACAACTATTTAATTTTATGGCCAAATATATATGAAAGGAACTATTTTTTATGGTATTCATTCTTTTATATTAGTTATTTATGTGTTAAGAAGCATGTGCATGCACACATGACATGACACAGATAAGTGGACTCATGGCACTACACGAACAAGCGGACACGTAAATTTTCAAAAAATGCAAGAGACATGTTGTGGACACATGAAAAACATGCATGAAAAAATATAATTTAATACATTTATTATATGTGATATTTTTAAGTATTATAAAATGGAGTCAAAATTAAAGAGATGGATTTCTAGAGATATTCTCAAATTGGAAATTGGGATATAAGAGTAGATGCTTTGAAATTTAGAATTCTCAAATGTCAAAAATAAGTTATGGAAGGACTAACCGCCTATCATGAAAAAGGCTAGCTTCAACTAAAACCAACAACAAAACTATTCACATCATTATGTACTTATTCTATGGCAATTATTTATTCTCATCAAATTCATCAACCTTGAGTATGCTGTTTTGGTTTTGGGGGTGGGGGGTATTGGCACCGGGGAAGCAAAAATATAAGATTGGGTTGAATTTAGTTGATGAAAAATTATAGCACAAAGAAGTTTAGTCGAAAAAGATCTTAACAAAAATCATAAGTATTTGTGTGGCTAACCCTTAACAGCACTACATTCATTGGCCATGAGATAAATTTTACCAGAGTATTGGAATGTTGTAGATTACATTTTTATGAATATTATGGAAACCCACTAAAAAGATGTCCATATAAAGCCTTAAAGTAGTGTAGACCCAAAACGAAAGGTCTTTGGATCATTACTCAAATCCAAAATGCCAACAAGATAGCTGTATTCTGTCTCTACAAAATCCAGTCTAGATCCACAGAGATTCAGGCCCCCAATGCTCATTGCTACAATTTGCTTCCCACTATGTTGGAACCCTATGTAATTTCCTTCTCCTAGCGATACTGGATTCGATTAAATGCTCACAAACACAGGTGGAATGCAATAAAATGATTATTAGTGAAAGTGAAAGAAATTAAATTAAGATAATTTACAAATGATTGGAGTTTTATGAGCTTATAAAATTTTCTATTTATATTAATTTGAAATGTTTTTCCTTTAGTTTTCTAAATTTGTATCATTACTTGCGATGTTGGTATGTGTAGCTTTAACCATGATATTTTCTGCTTATAGGATTTGTTCTTATTAATACCTGGTTGATTTTGCTGGTTTCAGGGCGGCCTTACGGATTCTTAGAATTACATCTGCTACTCCCAGATCTTTCATGTCAAACTTTTTGTTCAACATTTTCTTGGTGAATTTAATCATGTCATTATTGCTTCCAATAATGAGCATGTCATTCACATAAAGACAGTCTATGACATAGCCTTTGTCTGTGTGTTTAACATAGATGTATTTGTTACATTCGTTTATCTTAAAACCATCCGAAAGCATAACATGATCAAATTTTTCATGCCATTATTTCGGAGCTTGTTTTAATCCATAAAGGGATTTGACAAGCTTACAAACATTTTTCTCTTAGTCGGGAACTTGAACCCTTCCAGTTGTTCCATATAGATTTCCTCATCTAACTTGCCATTCAAAAAGGCTATTTGAACATCCATTTGATGTATCTCCACATTATACAAAGTTGTAATCGCAATTACCATGCGGATAGATGTTATTCTTGTCACTGGTGAATAGGTGTCAAAATAATCAAGGCCTTCCTTCTGTCTGTATCCCTTAACAACAAACCTAGCCTTGTATTTATCAATTGAACCATTTGCTTTTATTTTTCTCTTGAATATTGTCACGACCCAAACTCGCCCCTATAGGTTTAATGTTGTAACCGGCCAGTAATCCTCAAATTATCCAAGGCCTTTTAACAGAATATCATATATTTAGGAGCTGCGGAAGCAAATATAAAAACATAGTCCATTGAGCTGTGGAGACATATATGGAACAGAAATTTTAAACCTTTACGCAAAAATACATGACGTCATATTGCAGTAGTCTTATGTCACATTCATTACGGATATAGCCAAATATACAGATAACAGAAAACTTGTTCATAATTCAAAAGAAAATGAAGTCCTTTATGTTCAAAAGCATTGTGACAGACGTCTAGAACCTCCTTGGGAGGCACAAAGGCTGGCTGACAAAAACTCTTCGGGCGGTCATCATTGGGCCTGGACACGCACCTGATCACCTACATATATATATATATAAATGGTGAGTGAAGCCCAGTGAATAATAACAAAGTAAAGAATTTAATGAATGATGTCCCATATCAGATTTCAAATCAGAAATAGATTCTTATTCACATACTCTCCAGAAATCATCAGCACCTTGTGGTACATCCATTTAGCTATCATGACATTTCAAATTTTTATAGTCGGTACCGACAATCACAAAGGTCCATATCTTGCGCGTAAGTAGCCATGGTATTGTTACCCCCAGACGAGGGCCATGTGCATATAGACCTCAGTATTATTACCTCCGGGCAAGGGCATGTGAATATAAGCCATGGTATTGTTACCCCCGTGTGAGGGCCACGTGCATATTGGCCACAGTATTGTTACCCCCGGGCGAGGGCTACGTGAACTAAGGATGCCTCAAATACATTTCAAAAAAACAGACATTCATTCATGACATAAAATAGCATTTCAGAAAATAGTCCGTATCATATCAATCAGAAAATATTTATAATTAAACATAGTTTTACAGAGTTATTACTTACAAATGACTCCAAGTAAACAGACAGAGTAGGCAGATCAGGTAACTTGCGGCGTGTGACCTACACAGATATAAAATGAATACATACAAAATTACACACCTAGAATCAATAATTTAGTTCCCTTTTGTTTTTGTGTGTTCTACTTCTATTCCTTATTATTCTGACTTAATTAGGGCTTAGAAATGCTTAGGATACAATGAGGATGCCAAAATATAATTCAAAACACTTAGTCAAATTTGCTGAAAACAGGGGTCTCGCTCGAGCATACCTTTCTTCACTCGAGCGGACATGCAAAATATGAGTGGTCGCTTGAGCGCACCTTCTCTCGCTTGAGTGGTCCGTAAAAGTACTGGTTTTGTAATTTTTACGCTCGATGGTCGCTTGAGCATGAGACTCAGGTCTTCATTCAAGCGCAACTCTTGTCGCTCGAGCGGTCTGCAAAACATGTGAACTTCTGGGAACATGCATTTTACACTCGAGCTAACTATTGGTCGCTCAAGCAGAGGTGCAAAACACAGAGTGATCGCTCGAGCATAGGATATGTCGCTCAAGTAGAGAAGCAGAATCTGGAATTTCTAGATTGCTCTGTCTAGTGCAAAACTCAATTTCAAAGATGCAAATCATGGTCTTTTGGGCCAAAAACTTGAGGAAACTTATATAAACTTGGAAAACATGGTGAATTAAAGATCATTTCACAAAATTAAGGCCCAAAAGGTTGCCAATTGTGCAAAATAATTCTTCATTTCTTTGAAAACATAACATGCATAACATGCAAGCTTTATCTTGACTTCAAAGCTTCCAAACCATGATCATTTGCTATAAAATGGTATCAAACAAGATGGATTCTCAAAATAATGGTAAGATGAACACATACATGAGGGAATCTCTTGAAATCAAACTCAAATTATGCTCAAATGGGCATGCATGCATGATATGATCTTCCTACTAACTCAATAGCTTAATTCTAAATTAACTTAACTCTTTTGAATTCATGGCTTAGGCATCAAAATTGTACATTCAAAGGGTAGAATTCTTACCTAAACTTTCCAAGGTGAGAGCTAGAGGTTAAATTCCTGAGTCTCCAAGTCCAATCATTCTCTTTCCTAGCAATTCCCTTAGCTTGAAGTTAATTCCTCTCCAAAAATGGCTCTAAGCTCACTCTTCTCACTCTTCCTCACGTTTGAAGTTCAAGGAGGATGAAATGAAGGTGTAAAAATGATCTCAAGGAGTTAAATTAGCCTTATATAGGCTTGATTAGGGAATTTAATCAATTAAGCTTACCACTAATTAAATGGACACCATTCTATTCTAATTTAATCATTCCGAACCGAATTTTAATTAGATCTACCATGATTTTCTAAAAATCCTAAATAACACATAATTCAAGCCAATTTCGTGATCTGTTCCCGATAAGGCCTTCAATTAGTAAATCGGAATAGAAACACAAACAAATATTTCTACATTAAACAGATATAAACACAAATAATGCAATGCATAATAAATTAACTCAGGATTTCATCTTAATTACTTATTAGGCTTATTTAATCATGGTTTAACATTAATCAGAGGTCGAGGTTATTATATTCCACTTATATCCAAGAGGTTTACATCCTGGTGGAAGATCCATCGGTTCTCAAGTATGATTTTGCAAAATAGATTCAATCTCACTATTCACAGCCTCTTTCCATAATGGGGCTTCAGGACTTGACATTGCTTCCTTGAAGTTTTGAGGCTTATTTTCTAATAGGTATGTCAGAAAAGCTAAACCAAATGATTTAAAGATCCTAGCCCTCTTGCTACGTCTAGGTTCATCTGTTTTATTATCATTTTAGTCTTCACTACCACCTATAGCAATATCAAAAGTTCTTTTATTTGAACTTGTCTCTTCAGTTTCCTTGCAAGGAAAAATGTGTTCAAAAAACGATGCATTCCTTGACTCAATAATAGTGTTTACATACATATCAAGATTTTCAGATCTATGAACTAAAAAGCTGTATGCACTACTATTATTTGCATAACCATTGGACACACAATCAATGATTTTTGGTCATATCTTAGTGGTTTTAGGACTAGGGATTGACACTTTGGCCAAACACCCCCACACTTTGAGGTAATTGTAGGTAGGTCGTCGACTTTTCCATACTTCATAAGGTATTTGATTGATTTTCTTGTGGGGTACCCTATTAAGGATAAAGTTAGCAGACAAAATTGCCTCCCCCCCCACAAGTTCTAAGATAACCCTAAACTAATCAACATGGCATTCATCATCTCTTTAAGAGTTCGATTCTTTCTCCCAATAACTCCACTAGACTGAGGAGAATAAGGTGCAATGGCATGGTGAATAACACTATGTTCAGAACAAAATTCCTCAAATGGTACATCATACTGACCACCTCTGTCACTCCTCACTACTTTAATAGTTTTGCCAAGTTGATTTTCAACCTCAAATTTATATTGCTTAAAAGCTTTTAAGGCTTCATCTTCACTTCTCAATAAGTAAACATAGTAATATCGAATGCAATCATCAATAAAAGTAATAAAATACTTTTTACCTGCTCTAGTTTGAACAAATTTTAAATCACAAATATCTGTGTGAATTAAACTTAAAGGTTCAGTACTTCTTTCAACTTTATTTGGCACGAGATTCGTTATCCCGTGCCTAATAAAAAAGATCTTTTAGATAGATTACAGGATGCAGTGATATTTTCTAAATTTGATATGAAGTCAGGATATTGGCAAGTTCAAATTGTAGAAAATGATCGCTATAAAACTGCTTTTACAGTACCCTTTGGGCATTTTGAATGGAATGTTATGCCATTTGGTTTGAAAAATGCACCATCTGAATTCCAGCATATTATGAATGATATTTTTAATCCCTACACAGAATTTGCCATATGTTATATTGATGATGTGCTTATTTTCTCATCCTCAATCGATCAACATATGAAACATCTTAATATTTTTAAGCATGTTATTTCCAAAAATGGTCTTGTTGTTTCTGCTCCAAAGATGAAGCTTTTTCAGACAACTGTTAGATTTTTAGGACATAATATTCATAATGGAACAATTATTCCTATTAATCGAAGTATGGAATTTGCTTCCAAATTTCCAGATGAAATAAAGGATAAAACACAGTTACAGCGATTTTTGGATAGTTTAAACTATATTCATGATTATTACCCTAATCTTGCTACTGATGCAGCAATTTTATACAGTCGTCTTCGCAAAAACCCTCCTATTTGGGGTCCAGAACATACTGCAGCAGTTAAGAAAATTAAGGCTAGAGTTCAAACTCTTCCTTGTTTATGTTTACCTCATCCCGAATGGAAAAAGATTGTTGAAACTGATGCCTCAGATTTAGGATTTGGTGGCATATTAAAACAATTTAATCCAAATACTAATAAAGAAGAACTTTTACGTTTTCATTCAGGTATTTGGCATGATGCTGCTAAACGATATCCAACCATTAAAAAAGAATGTTTAGCCATCATTAAATGTGTATTAAAATTCCAGGATGATTTATTAAATCAGCATTTTTTAATCAAAGTTGATTGTTCTGTTGCCAAACAAATATTTAAAAAAGATGTTGCCAATTTAGCTCAACGCCAGATTTTTGCTACTTGGCAGGCAACCCTTTCTGTCTTTGATTTTGACATTGACTATATTAAAGGTGAAAATAATTCCCTTCCAGATTTTCTAACTCGTGAATATTTGCAGAAATCACATGCAGGGTAGAAGCCGAGGCTCCGCCCGTCGGGGCCGTGGACGGGGATCTAACCCTTATCATACAGCATTTCCGTCATTATTTGGCCAATCCAGTAATCCCGGGGAATCTTCTAGCAAATCTGCTAAAGATGTCCTTCTTGCTCCTGAAACTGCTTACATCCAGAATACTATTAGAGAAGAAACTATCCTCTACATAGATTCTTCCGATGTTCAATGGATGGTTGATCCATGGGAGATAAAACGCCGTTATCTCGCCACTCAAAACGCACCCCCGCGTTTTGACCAATACAGATATGTGTACGAGTGTAGACACCCCATTTTTGACCGACCTTAAGACTCAGATGTCACCGATTGAGCGCTTGGTGATATTGCATATCGTGCTTGTCCAGAGGTTTCAGAGTCTCGGCTGCGAGCCTAGCCTCCGGACTTTCGGACTCTTTCACGCTTTGCCTCGGTTTGCGAACCAGGCTCTGCTTTCTCTATTTTCTCTTCCCAAAGGGAAGGAGAGGTCTCGTAGACCATCTCTCAATGGCCGTAGGCTATGTTTCGTGGTCGTAGGCCATTTTGCCCGTTTGGAGTCCGGTTTCCGATTTTTCGGAGCCGTTGGCCGTGTGCCTCGGTTCGGGACCGCTTAACCACCTCCGTTTGCTCTGGTTTTTGGCATATATCTTATTTGCTCCCTTTTGAGGGACACTGTGGCTCGAGAAACCAACTTCGTGGTCGAACACCGCTCCCGGTGCCTAACAACCAGTTTTTGGGGCCTCGGGCTGCGCGTTTCGGCCCCCGAACCTTCATTCTGCATCAGTTTGGGTTCATTTTTGGCAGGGACCTCTGTTTCATTGGTAAGAAGGTCGTAGAAGGGTGGGAGGCCAACAATTGTTCTGTCAGCCAACTTTATCCCTTCATCGCCCTCCGTCGCCTATTTTTTTCTCACTTCAAAGCCAATGTTGACCACCCTTGGGCCATTTTCTTGCACCCTAAATCCCATATTTGTGATGTACACATCTGGGAGGCCACCAATATTTGGTGGCCGGCCAGTAATTGCTTTTGAACCTTTTGAACCCCTTTGAAAATTGGGTTGTTCTCTCTCCTGGTTCATTGTCTCCAGTTTTTAACCACTTGGTTGTGTTGTGCACACATCAGAGGCTCTCTTTTTGGGGTGGCCGGCCACTAATGCTTCTTGACCCTTTTGACCCCTAGCCGACCGGCCATGGGAGGTAGCCGGCCGGCCACCTAAACCTTAGATAACTGGCCGGCCAGAATCCTTGCATCAAGTACAGTACAGATACACCCTCCTTTTCCCCTCAGATTCTGTATCCGGGGGGGGCATTTTTGGGGGGAAACTTGATTCATTTCCCTCCATTTTTCCCTCCTTTTCCCCCCCTCTTTTTGCCTATATAGAAATCCCTCCAGCTGCATATTTAGGGTTACAAAAAATTCCCCCAAGCCTCTTGCCTTGTATCTCTCTCTCTCTCTATATTTCCAAGCTCCAAACCCTCAAGCCCTACACCATTTCCACACCACCACCTAGCACCACATCACCATCATCCATTCCAGCAGTTTGAGGTTGTTCTTCAGAGCCTAGGAGTGCTGCATTTTGGTCCAAAAGTTGTCAAAGGCATAGTCTTCAAGGGTGAGCTTCCTTTTTCCCTTTTCTAGCCTTTTCTTGATTTATTTATAAGCCATACTTGCTTGCTGTTTTGGGCTCCGACCCTAACTGGGAATAGCATTATTTTGAGGTATTTTTCATGTTTGTTTAAGGGCATCTCACTGTTTGAGGCCTCCTTGTTGCACTTTCTTCATTAGCTCCCTTGTATGCCATTTTCTTGTGTAGTATTTTTGGCCTATGTATAAATTGTTTTGAGGAATGTTATAAACTGTAAAGTTGCTTATTTTGAGCCCTTCTTCAACATTGTTGAAGGGCTCATCATTGTTTGGGGCTTCCATTTGCCACTTGCCTTTGTATCTCTCTTTTAGCTCCATTTTTGCATGATTTGTTAGCCTCTTATGCTTCTGTTTTTGGGCTCTGGTCCGAACCATAAATGATCTTATTTTGACCCCCTATTCATGTTTCATTAAGGATCTTTTACTGTTTGAGGCATCCTTTTTGTATTTTGTGTTATAGCCCTCTTTTTGGCCTTGTTTTGCATAGTATTTTTAGCATGCTTGTACACTGTTTTGGGTTTGATCATAAACTGTAAAATGCCATGTTTTGGGTCCCTCTTCAACATTTTTGAAGGGCCCTCTTGTGTTTGAGGCCAGAAGCCATGACTTGCTTCTTTATCTCACATTTAGGGCCATTTTTGCATGTTGGTTTAGCCCCATTTGTCTTCGCTGTTTGGCCTTCCTTAAAACTGTAAACATGCTTGTTTTGGGGCTTCCTTGAATATGTATTCATATTTCATGATCAAATAGTGCATGTTTTGTATAGCTATAGGCCATTGCGCATGCCTAGTTTTGCATTTCGGGTCCCATTCCATGCATCGGGTGCCATGTTTTCATGATTCGGGGCTGTTTTGGGTCATGTTTTGCTACTGAAATTTGCATGCTAGCATATCATATTCCATGCCTTGCCATGTCTTGTTATAGTGGCATTTTGTGCCTTAGGATCGGTCCTCGGTTTGCGTGCATGTGTGCACGCATTTCGAGTGTCTCGTTTTCATCTCATGGCCTCTTATGTGAGTGTGGCTGAGGTCCACTTGTGTTAGTGTAAGTCCATTTATGCATTGTGTATGTCATTTTATTTCATAGCATTGCGTATGCTAGGTTGTATGTTAGCGCATTGTGTATGCCATGTTACCTCGTGCATCGTGTATGCCATTTCATAGCATTGTGTATGTTAGGTTGTATCTTAGTTGCATTTCATGCATATCATGCATATTGCATTGTGCTTGGGATAGGAGTTAGCCCGAGCACGGGAAACGAGGTACGTTTCGTACTCCGAGTGACGGAACGTGTCTCAATTCCCTATCACCGACACTCCGAATTATCCATGATGTTGACTTTTGTTGACTTTTTATTTCCCGAGAGTTGAACTTTTGTTGACTTTTTGCAATTTTGGCTCATTTTGCTCATTTTTGCTCATTTTTGCAGATTTCTTTGAATGGCGGATCATTTCCATCATGGGGGAGGTTCTCCGCATGCCGGGGGCGAGCCAGACATCATGTCACTGCCTCCGAGGATTCGGCCTTTTGACCCCGAGAGGTACGACCCTCCAGAGCATG